ACAAAAGTGGTCTTCCCTGGGGGCCCAGTGGTTAGGACTCTTCCACTGCAGAATACAAGGGTTCGATCCCTGGTCAGGGAACTAAGATTCCACAAGTCCTGGGGCACAGCCAAAATTAAAAACAAAACAAAAAAAAGATACACAAGAAACCCTATGAGTGGCTTCCCTAGGGAAGGGACCAGAGCCAGTAGCTGGAGGAAAGAGCTAGGAGGGACCTTTCCTTCTCCCTCCTTCCACCTTTATTTTTTAAATATTTTTGTATTTATTACTTATTTAATTGGCTGTACCAAGTCTTACTTGTGACATGCAGGATCTTTGAGCTTCATTGCAGCCTGCAGGATCTTTAGTTGCTGCATGTGGGATCTACTTCCCTGAGCAGGCATCTCTCTCAGGCCCCCTGCCTTGGGGGTCTGGAGTCTTAGCCTCTGGACCACCAGGGAAGTCCCTTCAGTCTACCTTTTTGAAGATTGTAGCATGGGCATGTAGTCCCTTCATTAAAATAAGTAAATTGACTGGGAGATGGCGATTTCTGGGATAGCAGATCTGAGAGGTGTATACACAGATGAAGCAAATGTGATGTTCAGTATTTAAGCACATTATGTATGCTATGCCTCAAAAAAGAAGGAAAAATAAATAACAAACTATTTAAGCCCAATAAAAGTCTATTTTCTTATGTTGGCTACTTTATCATTTTTTGAATATCAATTCTCTGACCTCCCCACCCCCAGAAAGGATTTCTGGAGACCCTGCTTAGTCTGTTTATCTCATGGTCTAACACTGACTACCTCTATCTTAGACAGTAGCCCTGAAAGACTATGAACTCTCTCACAGCAGGGGGCAGGAAGAGACTGGACACCATCACCTCCACTCCAGGGGGCCCTCACCTCCAGCACAGGAGGTCCACTGCTGGTCTGGCTCACCTCCAAGTAGTTAAAACTTAGCACCATGTCTCACACAGAGCACGTGTCCAACCACATTCATCCAGACCCATGTATGTACATGGTCACAAGCCCAGGTCCAGTCCTACCCATGCACACCCTGCTTGTCACATACAGATGAGCATACACACACACACACGTGCACGCACACACACAAGCATCCACTTACACACAGTCCCACTAAAGGCAACTTCATCACCCACGTCCATCTACACACATACATAGTTAGGTGCAAACACCCACACGTGGACACAGCATCCCAACCACCCACAAAGTTGCAGGTCCCTACGTAGCACCCAACACCCCCTGTATTGTGGCCACAAACCACTCTCCCTCCGGAGTTTTAAAAAAGAAACTAACTAGGCACCCAGCAACTCCCGACCATGAAAGAGACAGGAATTTCTTTGAAGGGTGTCAAGTCAGAAGGCAGACATGCACTAGGAGGGTATGCACAGTCTCTACTGTCCCTTGGCAGGAAAATAAATAAGAAGCACTGCCCTTCCCTTGGCATAAGTGCTCTGGAGTTCACAGAGCACATGCGCGTGTACACACACCCACACTCCCATTTGGGCCTCAGGCATCCCTCAGGGCTCAGTGACTGTGGCTCACAGTCTTAGTTGCCCCTCTGCAAATGGGATCTTCCTGGACCAGGGATCAAACCTGTGTCCCCCGCTTTGGCTGGTGGATTCTTAACTGCTGGAACACTGGATCTAGGAATTATTTTCCCCATTCTTTTTTTTTAAGGGAGGTAAACAGGTTCAAGGAAGCTGAGAGTTAAAAAAGTAAGGGCCTACTAATTCAGAAGAGAAAATTACTCACTTGGGAAGCAAGAAGACAAAGGCAGAGATGAAGGTCAACGGGGATGCAGAAAGACAGGCAGTCTGAACGAGCAAACAAAGTAATCTCTAGAAAGCTCTTGAAGTTCCCTGGGCCTCAGTACCCCTACCTGATAAATGAGCTTAACAATATTTCCCAAATGTTGATATAAAAAGCTGGTATGTTGTAGGTTTTTAGTATGAACAGCTTTTATGTGACATTATTAATGTACATGCCAACCCTATTTAGTAGGTCCTGTTAGCCCAATTTTCATTTACTTAGTTTTGGCTGTGCTGGGTCTTCCCTGCTGCTTGTGGTCTTTCTCTAGTTGAGGTGCATGGGCTTCTCAGTGCTGTGGCTTCTCTTTTTGCAGAGCACAGGTTCTGGGGCTCAAAGGCTCAGTAGTTGTGGCCCAAGGGCTTAGTTGCCCTTCAAAATGTGCAATCTCCCCAGACCAGGGATCAAACCCATGTCCCCTGCCTTGGCAGGTGGATTCTTAACCACTGGACAACCAGGGAAGTCCATGTTAGCCCAACTTTAGAAACAAAAACTAAGGCTCAGAGAAGTAACTTGACCAAGGTCACAAGCTAGGAAGAGGGAAGGCAAGAAACCAAGGCCGTCTGACGTCTGACGAGTCCACTGTCCTTCCCACTGTACCAGCCACCGTGGGAGGAGGAGGCGGGACGTGGGCACAGCGCGCGATGAGGCCAGGGTCAGGGCACTCCTCAGGGGCCCCTGGGGGGCTGGCACGGGACCCACGAGTGTAGCACCGGCTGTGAGCCGGGCCCTATGGCTGAGCTGAGCTGCTCTGAGAGGCTGGGACCCTTGGCAGAGGGTCTCATGGGGCCAGGCTGAGGAACCAAGGAAGGATTCTTTCTCAGGAAAAGACTTGCCAACCATCTGGCAGGAAAATGACAGAGACAGGAGCGTGGAAGGGATGGGGACCAGAAGTCCCAGTGAGAACCTTGACAGCAGGGACCTCCCTGGTGGTCCAGTGGTTAAGACTCCTTGCTCCCACTGCAGGGGGTTCGGGTTCAACCTCTCATCAGGGAACTAGATCCCATATGCCACAACTAATAAATAAATGCATTTATATACAAATTAATCTATCAATAAACAAATTAGTTATAAATAAATAAATCTGCCAATAAATCATTTGTTTACACATAAATCTATTAAGTAATTTAATTATAAATAAATCTATCAATAATTTATTTATAAATAAATCTATCAATAAATAATTTACTTCTAAATACATTAATAATTAATAAAAATACAATTTTTAAATAAATTATTTTTTAAAAAAAGAACCTTGACACTGGGGCTGAAGGAGACAAGGGGTGCACCGAAGGAGGCAGGCACACCCCAAGACACATGTGAATATAAGAAGCAAGAACTTACTGAACTTGGGGTGACCAACCTACCAACTCACCAAGACGCCCAGCAGGTCCTCACTGTAGTATCCAAACTCCAGGAAGGCCCCACATGACCCAGCCCTCCTCTGTCCTCACTGGCCAACTCTGCCCCCAGGCACCATCATTCAGTTTATTCCCACAGCAGGGCCTTTGCACTGGCCATTCCCTCTGCCAGCAGCACTGGAGCCTGATTCTTCCTCCTCCTCCAGGTCTCAGCTCCTGCGTCTCCAACTCAGGAAAGCCCTCCCTGGCCCCTCCAGTCAGTGATGCCCCTAGGCACCCCAGTCACTTATTAGCATGTGAAGCTGGTTTATTTTCTGGGTAACACTTCTGAGACCCTGCAATTATCCTATTTAATGGGTTCCTTGGGCAGTCTGTCCCCTTCCACGCGCATGAAGCTCCATGAAGGCAGGAACTATGTCTCTCTTGTTTGCTACAGTATTGGCAGCACCTTAAAAAGCACCTGGCAGAACTTCCCTGGCAGTCCAGTGGTTAGGACCTCACCTTCCAATACCCGGGGTGTAGGTTCATCCCTGACTGGGGAGCTAAGGTCCCTCCCACATGACTTGGGGCCAAAAAAGCAAAACATAAAACAGAAGCAATATTGTAACAAATTCAATAAGGACTTTAAAAATGGTCCACATTAAAAAAAAACTCTAAAAAAATTTAAAAACTAAAAAGCACCAGCATACAATAGACACTTAACAGTATCTGAATGAACTGATGCACAGGAGTGAAGGGAAACTGAGGGAGATCAGAATGAAGGATTTGGGACATTTAGTGGGAATAGGGGACCTTTCTCAGGTCTGCCTTTGAGATGTGTAATGTTTCAGGTGACATTCAGCTCCCTAGGGGATGTGTCCTTAGCAGAAGACAGAAGCAGGGGACCAGAGGGCAGAGAGAGAAATTCGGTGAGGATAAATATGCATCTGTCGGGGAGAAAGTACTAGAGAAGGGGGGGTGGGGCAGAAGGTCATGAATGAGGCTGGAGTTCTGGCATCTTGTGGGGAAAGTGACCCAGGGAGGGGGCAGGGGTGGGTCGCACTCATGGTCATGCACCTGTCAGGAGTGAGCAGGATCCCAGCCCCTCCCTCCCGAATGAACAGGAGCCCCATTACCCAGATGGAGCAGGGGACTTACCCATGGGACAGCATTTCCCCAGAGGGGTGGGGAGTCCCAGGCAGAAGGCACAGGGGGTGGGGTCGAGCCCCGTGGCGCAGCTGTGCAGGGGCCCAAGCCAGGTGAGGAAGAATGCTCAGAAACCAGCCACTTTCCTCTGGATGCTGCCTACCAGGCCAGAGGCACCGCAGGGACAAGCCCCGGGACTAAATAACCCCGGAAAAGGGAGAGGTGGGGCGGAGCTGGCCCCAGCAGCTGGCTTCTCCCTCCAGCCCCGCTCGGCAGTCCAGCGCCAGCCCAGCACCGCCTGCCTGTCCCCCGCCTCCCTCCCTGGGGAAGGGAGGAGCCACCTGAAACTCCACCTGGCCCACCAGCCAACTGAGCCGCAAGAAGCTGGGTGCTGCCAGCAAAGCCCAGGAAGTCACCCTGGCCAAGGGAGCACCAGCCAATGGGCAAGTCTCCAGGGGCACAGAAGCCCAGGGGCCTCAGGCAAAGTCCAGAAAGCCCCACTGCTCAAAGAGGGTGAAGCCTGTGCAGGCCCCCCACCCAGCAGTGTTGAGGGGCCGGCCCATCCTCCCACTCTGCCCTGGAGCCAGTCCAGCCCGGCAGGAACACAGGAAAGATCTGGACAGGGAAATGGGACAGCCTGAAAGGCAAGAGGGAGTCAGGCGGGACGGAGAGGTTCTCAGGGTCACAAAAAACAGACGTCAACACTAAGTCACAGGCACATTTATTATCCTGCGGTACAATTAGGTCTTCCCTTCCCCAGCAGTGTCATGGAAGGGCCAGTCCTCAAGAGGCGGCCACGCTGCCACCCGAAGCAGGCCCATGGGGCGGCAAGGTCATGGGCGGCAGGAACAGAGCCTTCAGCTTCCCGGACAGGCTGGCAATCTCGGGATCCTGGGCTTCGTAAGACTTGACAAGGCGGGCAAACTTAAGAACACCTGCAAAGGGGAACGAAGCATCAGTCCACACCCACAGGGAACAGATGTGCCCAAGATGGCAGGAGGGAGCAGCTTGAGCTGGAGTGGGTGGCTGCTTCCCCTCTGGCCAGGTAGCTGTCTCCAAAACAAGACCCAGGCAATGCCCTGCGTGGTCCGGATAAACTATTTCCTGGTCTACACCAGGCACGACCAGATGGGATGCAGTGAATGACAACATCCCAAAGTAGTATGCTTTCCAGGATCAGATTAACCATTTTAGCAGTTTAGTCACAAGAGCCCAAAGGATGCGTACCCACCAGAACGAGGTCGCCAGTCTATAACCAGGACACAGGAGCATCATGGCCAGCTGGGCGGATCAATAAACACTCTTGGAGAACTCGGTGATCTCACCCAAGAAACTGAACTGCCAGACCTCAAATTAGCTGAAACACGTTGCGGGGTAGGGGGTGGGGGGTGGGAGGGGCTGCAGAAGTGTGTGGTCATATAGACATCTCACTAAAAGCCACCAAAATGGGACTCATAGAAAGTTCTGCTGTGACCTCCAGCACTGGTTTACCAGCAGAGCCTGATTCCTCATCTTAAAACGGAATAACAGTATAATTAATGGTAACTACAACATGCACTTAAGAACCTCTCTTGGCTCAAGTTCACAGCAGACCCTGGGCTCTGAGCGCCAACACTGTTAGACTGTGGCTGCCGCCGTGTGGCGAGAAAGGGGACGACGGCTCAGGGACCCAACAGATCCATCGTCCTCTCCTCGATCCAGTGCACCGCCGACCCCCGTCCGACCCACCTTCCCCGTCGCAACTGAAGCCGTAGGCTTTAATAACCTCCTGCTGAATCTGCGTGGCCACGGGCAGCACGAATTGCAGCATTTTGCCCATGTCGTTGCACGCGTTGTCCCGAGCTTCGTCCATGCGAACGGCATTCTCCGGCGCCGAGAACGCCTGGATCACCTCGGCCAGGACCACTGTGCGCAGATGCAGCCCAGAGAGGAGTCGCCGCCGCCAGTGGGCATGCGAGTCCAGCCGACCCGCGCGGCCGAGAGCGCAAAGAAAAGGGCAGCAGATTAGTGAACCTAAGCCGTAATAACCGATGAGCTCGGCCCCCGAATTCCTCGCTCAGAGCGAGGAGGCCCCTCTGAAGAAAGGACGGTCCCGCGCGCCCCCACTTCCCAGCGAATACAGTCACACCTCTCGCCCAGCGCCCTTCTCGAGAAAGGAGCCCACCCGGCAAATGGGAGGCTTCTCACCCTTGGCCTGCTCGGCGCTCAGGGCCGCGGATTGAGCCGAAGCGGACGCCATGGGATAAAAGATGCACGTGCGGTAGCGACGAACTGGCAAAAAACGAACCGGTTTCTAGCGCGGCCCTCCCGACGCAGGGGGGAAGCGAACGGGAAGCTACATCAGACAGAGCCGGAAACTTCCAGACAAGAGTCCCAACCTCCCGGATCTTCTCCACTAGCAACTGGCTAGCCACACATAGACCAAAAAAAAAAAAAAAAAAAACCCGAATCGGGAAAAAAAACAACAGCTTCTCACCCAAATATCAGTCTATTGTTGATAACCACTTATGTGGGAGGGGCTTTCCGGTACAAACCGGAAAACCTGCTAGACAAATTCTAAAAGAGCTGTAACACTGCGTATGCAGAGGCCGGAGAGAGCGCGGCATAGCCATCAACCCCGCTGTCGGTGAGGGTGAGCCCCGACGGCCGGTTCCTAGCTCCTACTGCTGTACAGATAACGAGACACACTGCGACTTTCGGAGGGGAAGACCATGTTCTAAGGAACTTTCCTAAATCCTTCGTGTCTAGAGTTTGTGAACGTTGGGTGGGGGCCTATGCAAATGAGACGATGCCGATTGGCTGAGTAGGAAGCCAGTCACGCCCCCTTTAGTTTTTAAGAACGCAGACAGGGTTTAGCCGCAGAAGAGCTCGGCGGGTCCCGCGCTTTCCTAAAATGGTCTTTCTTCGAGGTGTGAGTTGACGCCCTGTAATTTCTCTTCCCTTTTGGGCGTTTGTAATTGTTCCCCCACTCTCTCTCCCCGCTACCTTAGGGTGGTTAAGACACCTGGGTTCTAAACATTGCAGCCACGCCCCCTGCACCTCCGCTATATCACCATTTCTAGCTACTCAACTGAAAGGATTCGGGTCCCCGGAGGCTTCTAGCTGTGGGACCAGTGGCAGAAACGCCTCCCGAGTTTGCGTAGTTCCCTGCAGCTGTCCTGGGCCGCCAGCATCATGACTGCCCAGCCTTGGCAGAAAGGGTCCGGACTTGCCCCGGCACCCCGTTATGGAGGAGCCAGGGCTCCAGGAACCCGGCTCTTTGTGAGTCCCCTCTCCAACTCGCCAGGGTCCCTACCCACTTCCGGGCTGGCGCTAGGAGGTCGCACGGCTTTCTCTCGAGGTGTCACTGCGCGGAGACCCACACCCCCACCCACGCCCCACAGCCCACAAAGAAACAGCCACAGACATCTTCCTGGGGAGTCGTGAGGATGTTTTTGTTTGGTTGGTTTCGTTTGGGATGTTCTTTAAAGAGCGTCATATAGATATTTATATATATAAATTATTAATGTGGGGGAGGGGAGAGGGGCGTACATCGCAGTGGGGCGCGCACACGTTGGGGGGGCAGCTGGGGAGGGGCAGGGGCGGCACACGATGCTACGCAAAACAGCCACAGCTAACAGATGAAATAATCACACTCCCGCCCCCTCCCCGCCTCCGCACACCACAGGAGCCTCGGCCTTGCATCTGTCTCTTCCTCCCTCCTGCCCAGAGGCCCGATGCCTGGGGCCTGAGCCGCATGGGGAGGCTCTGAGTGGCAGGGGGGGAGAGAGGCCTCCTGGGTCCAGAGGCAGGGGCCATGGTGCTCTCTCGATGGCGGGTCCTACAGCGGCTTGTCGCTTTCCTTCTTCAGATGACTGGGGGGAGAGCAAGCAGAGCAGGGAGTCGGGGGGGGGCGGGGTAGAGACTGAGGTCCGGCCTGACCGCCCAGCTCACTGCGGATGGGTCCCCTCCCGCGGGGGCCACACCCACCCCGGTCGGGCTGGGGTGCACCCCCTCCGCTGACTGCCCTCCGCCGGGTCCCGGGCACCCTGTGGTACCTGTAGTAGTCCTCCTGGGCAGGCAGCGGCACGCTGTGCAGCGGGTGATGGGCATGCAGCCACTGCTGCTGCTCCAGCGCCAAGCGCTGCAACTCAGCCGACTGCGCGTGCATGGCCTGCAGCTGGTGAGCTGCCGACATCGGGGCAGAGAGGGAGGCTGGCAGGTCCCGGTATGGAGCAGCTGTAGGCAGGAAGGGCAGGGGCCACGTGACTGATGAGGTACTCAGGTGGCCAGACACTGTTCATACAGAGGAACCGCCACTAATCAACTTAGGTGACAGTCAGTCCTGCAAGCTGCCAGACGTGGTAAAGATCCAGGCCTCTGAGCCTGACCTTAACATCTGTGCCTCTCAGCCAGGGCCTCGGCCGTCCTGCTTCCATTCCCAGTTCCTCCCGCCACCTCATCTCTCCCCAAGCCCAATCAGACTGATTCCAGCACCTAACTTCCTCCATTCTCTCGAGAGATCGCCCCCCACCCCCAACCTCCATCCTTACCAAAGAGCTGGTGACGAAGAACTTCGTTCTCGTGCAGAGGGTGAGGAAGAAGGGGGTTGGGGAGGGTCCCAGCTGGGTAGGGGATCCGGGTAAGGTGAGACCCTGAGGCCAGGGGGTCAATGAGAGGGTGCACCGAGGCAGAGGCTGGAGGGTAGAGAAGAGGAAGGTGTCAACAGAAGGCAGGTTTGGGGAAAACCATGAACTTGGGTGAAGGGCTCCATGCCTGGAAGAGAGGTGGACGATGAAACACAGGGTGATCCAGCAAATCAAAAAAGGCACAGTGGAGGGGCTAGAGGTCTAGGAGATGGACAGGGCAAGACCCTACAGCAGGAGGGACAGAGGGATGGATGGCAGAGGACAGGAGATTCTAGTTCTCAGAGGGACCTGAGGAATAGGAAGGGAGTGGACTACCGAGAGGAGATAGAAGAGAAAAGGAAGTTTAGGAAATGGGACAGGGAGGAACTTAAAAGAGAACACAAGGAGCCTGGAATGAATTTGAGTGTAAGACTAAATGGGCAGTGTTCTGACAATTAGAAAAATGGTGGAAAGACTCATTGTGAGTAAAGCTCATTGGCCCTTGTTATCCCACAACCTGAGCCACAGGGCTCTTTCTAGAAGGTCACAGATCTATAGATTCAGAGAGGAACATGAATCACCTCTGCCTGAATGGAGAAGATGGCAAGAAACAATAGAGCTGAACCCAGAGGAGCAAGGAAATAGTTATGAGAAGGGCTCAGGGACAGACGCTGTGAGGGGAGGAAGGTCGCACTCCTTTAAAGGTTTCCACCTCCAGCTTCTACCGTGGGGTGTGGGGGGAGATGCAGACCTGAATGTGGCTGGGGTGTGGGGCAGGGTCTCTGCAGTAGGGCTGGGGTAGGAGAGACAGGCTGGGAAGGCAAAGACCAGGGCAATCTCAGGAGAGCAGCTCAGGCCAGACGTGGGGTGGGAAGTCCAGGCCTAAGCAACAGAAGCGCCCAATGACTTGCCAGGGTGCAAAGTGATCCCAAAGGTCCTGGCCAAGGACGAGGGAGTCTCACCTGCGTGGATGGCATCCTGCTGGTGGAGGTGCAGGTGAGAGTGGATGTGAGAGTGCTGGTGGTGATGGGGGGTCACGTTGAGCATCTGCAGCCGCGCCAGCGGGTCATTGCCCAGGGCGGCCACCCTTTCCGCGTGCTGCCTCTCAGCTGCCAGACGCTCCGCATAGGACATGTCAGGCCGCAGGGCGGGCCCAGCTGCCAGCGCTAGACGTTCTCTCTCCAGGGGCCCCAGGCTTGGATGGAAGGGGAAAGGGTGCAAGCCCGGGGGGCCGGGCTGCAGAGCCAGGCCTCCGTGCCGGGGGAAGGGATCCAGGCCTGGCCCAGGGACCCCATGTAGGGGCTCCAGCTCGCTGGGCTTCACCTCAAAGCCAGGCTTGAGGCGGTCACGCAGGTCTCGTTCACGGGCTTCCCGTTCTCTCTCCCGGGCTGCTGGGTCACTGCTGTACAAGGCCGGGACATTGTAACCCAGGAGCCCCGGGTCCACTGCCCCCAGGGGCACGTAGAATGGATGGTTGCGATTGCCAGGAGACATCACGTGGGGCCGGGCGTATTCACTGAGGGTGCGCAGGGCTGGAGTGTCGGGGCCCAGGTAAGGGGGCACTGTAGCCACAGCACTGCCCGGCTCAAATGGAGGGCGATGGGGCACTGGGCCGAGAGATGGGCACTCCACTGGAGCACGGCCCTCCTGAGCCAACTTCTGTGGGACACAGGGAGACGCGGGGTCAACAAGGCAGGTCCGGGTCCTCAGCTGCTCATTTGTCTCAGCATCTGAATGCCTAAAGCCTCAGCTTACTGTAACTCGGCCTGCCAGGGACTTCCCTGCCCCTTCTCTTCCTACGGAGGAGATGATCTTTCTATGATCCACGAGTACTCTGACCTGAGCTTGCCTTTCTTCAGCCCAGGGATGCAATTCCTGCCGCTGGAATCCTCTGATCTCCATTTCCTGGGTTGCCATAGCTCCTCCTGTTCGACAGGTGGCGTACGCCACCTCCCCACCACCACAACCCCACCTCGAACCTCCCAGAGTCGCGTAGAGGGCGGCCCCCAGGCGGGCGGCGCGCGCAGTGACGCACTCACCACGCTGCGTTCCAGCTCACGCTCCTTCTCGCGCTCGCGCTCCTTCTCGCGTTCCCGCTCGCGCTCGCGCTCCTTTTCTTCGCGCGCGCGCTGCTCGGCCTCGCGCCGCACCTTCTCTACCAGGTCGGCCCGTTTCTTGGCCAGCTTGGAGCCCTCCAGCGGCACGAAGTACAGGTCGCTGCGCGCGCACGAGTTAAAGCCGCGGTCCAGGTGTTTGTTGAACCTGCCAGGCGCCGAGGTAGCGCGCGCTCAGCCCCTGCGAGCGGCACCCCCACCGGCGGCCGAGGGCAGGGCCTGGAGTACTTTGAAAAGCATCAAACGAACGCGGGGCCCATCCCGCGCCCGCCACCCCCAAACCCCGCCCCGGCGCTCACCTGGCCGACTGACTGGCGTGGCTGGGCACATCTACCACCTTGGGAGGGGGCGAGGGGCTGCGGGCCGGGGGCACTGGGCTCTCGGGGGTCTCATATTCCTCGGCCGGCTCCTGTTTAATCTGCGTGGCGCTCAGGGGCGGCCCAGAGGCGGGAGCCGCAGGCGGTGCAGGCAGGGATGACAGGCTGGAGGGCCCCGCAGGCGGCAGCGGCCCGGGCCCCACGGTGGGCGAGCCCGGCTTGAAGGTCCCTGGGCCTGCGGGCGGCGAGGCGCCTCGGTAGCCTGGTGGGGTCCCCGTTCGGAAGGAGGGCGGCGACCCCGGCTTGTATCCAGGTGGAGTGGCTGTCTTGTAGGCCCCTGGGGACGGAGCTCGCTTGCCATAAGGCGGGGGCCCAGGTGGGGAGGCTGTCTTGTAGCCTGCTGGCGAGGAAGCTACTGTGGCAATGACCGTGGAAAGTGTGGCCGAGGAAGTGGTGACCGGAGGCACCGGTGGGAAGGGGTAGGGCGCCCCTGGGGGGCCCTGGGAAGGCGAGGGGTGTGAACCCGGGTAGGACCCTTGAGAGGAGGAAGAGGAATTGGAAGAAGAGGAGGCTGGGGGTCCGTTGGGACCTGCTTGGCTGTAGGACACCTGACTGTGAGGTGGGGGCAGGTGTGCTGGCCCTGGTGGATAGGGCCTCAGAGACCCCAGGGAGGGAGACATGGCATACGGGTGTGCATGGTGGGAACCACCGCTCTCCAGGGGGTGAGGATATGCTCCAGGGGGAG